ATTCATATCCACTAAGATGGTTTTTGTGCTGGGTTTATATGATGGGATTTTGGTAGCACAGGAGTGGCTGCAGAGAGAGCCCCTGTAAGTAGCTGCAAAAGGCTTCCCCGGCTCCAAAACCAGTTGGACCAACCTCTGGCTAGGTTGGACCCCACTCCCCTCTGGCCAGAGCCAAGCCAGTCAGCGCCTCTGCCAGTGCCCTGTTTAAGAAGGGGGCAAAGGAGCCCAAGCCCGGGCTGGACCTACAGTGAAGGGAGGGGGGAGGCAGGGGGCTGGGACCGCCCTGGGGGGGCGCCTGCCTGTGTGGGCCACTGCCACTCAAGTGGAGATGGCCACAGCGATGCAGCTTGGAGAGCTTCCAAGCGTCCCAATTCTGGAGAGCCTGCTAGGCTGAGTTCATCCTGCAGGACTGCTGAGGGTCCAGGCCAGTCGAGCCTGGCACAGCTGCAGCGGGAAGAGGGCTGAGTTGTGAGAGAAACGGCTCTGCAGACAGCGAGGTGAGTGGAGCTGGAGCAGGAGGGGGTGTGCAGGAGCTGAGGTTCCCCTGCAGCCCATGGGGAGATGGCAGGCAGCCCCCTTGCTGCCCATGAGAGACACGGTGGAGCAGAGATCCACCTGCAGCCTGTGGAGAACCCCACGCTGGAGCAGATGCCTGTGCCTGAGGGAGGTCATAGAGAATGGTCTCCATGAGCTGCTGGAGACTGATGACGAGGCGGAGAGGCATCTGAAGTCCGTGGAAGACCCCTCACCAGAGCAGGTGGCTGGTCCCTAAGAAGCCATGACTCTGTGGGGAAGAAGCCCATGCTGGTGCAATCTGATGGGTCAGGATTGCATCCTGCGGGAAGGACTCACATTGGAGAAGTCTGTGGACTGTCCTGTGAGGAGGGCATCCACTGGAACAGGGGAAAAGAGTGTAAGGAGTCCTCCTCCTTTAAGAAAGGAGCAGCAGAAACAACATGTGACAACTGACCTGCAACCCCCCTCCACTGCTGGGGGAGGAGGTAGTGCTGGGAAGAAGGGAGGGGTGGGGGGAAGGTGTATTTTTTTAAGATCTGGCTTTGTTTCTTGTTATCCTCTCAAGTAACCATTAACGAATTAAATTAATTTGTCCCCAAGTACAGTCTGTTTTGCCTGGAGCCATGGTTGGTGGCTGATCCCTCCCTGCTTTTGTCTTGACCTTCAAGCCCTTTGTTACATTTTTTTCTTCTCCACCCCACCCGAGGGGGAGCAGTGAGCAAGCCACCTTAGCTGCTGGCTGGGCCAAGCCACCACAGTTACGTAGGAGGAAGGAAAATAAGATTCAGTTTTTAAACTGTCTTCTCATGTAATTCTTTTTTTCTTTGTTTTTGTTTCTGTTGGTCAGTCAGTAATTTAACTTGAAAGAATTCTTAGTACAAGCATTTCCTACTCCTATAGGAATTACAATAAACTGAAGAATTATTTGTAGAGAACATGCCAGACTGAGTTTGCAGCCCTTTGAGAGAGGGACTATGTGCTCTTCTTATCCATCTCAAATAGATCTACAATTTATTGCTTTACGATTGTTTGCAGTGGTTATAAAATTTGGACTATTTGCCTTACTGTAAAATACCACAAAACAGCTTTGTTCACGACAGTCTGTATTTATACACCTTATGTTTGCTCAGCACTATAAAGCAACAACATGAAAACAGGCAGCTACAGCATTTATCACACTCTCCAGGTGATTAAAGTCAATCAGCTTTTGGCCTGGAGCCATAACAGAACTGATTACCTTCCGAAAGAGACATCCCAAGCGCACAGGCTGTCATCATATCGTGATGCCTGATGATCCAGTGACATGAGTGTGGTGCACAGTTAAGACCATAGGAGATGTCAATGAAAAGATAGAAGAATGCACAGAAATTTTGGACAAACAGTGTTGAAAAGCATAAAAAACTGGATGGATTTTTTACAGTTACGCTGTCTCACTTCGTTCTGTTTCATGACACAAGAGCATTATCCAGGCAACTAAATAAGATCCAAAAATGTACATAATTAAGCAGCACAGTTGAAAGAATGATGATAGGAAATCTCTCTGTCTCATGCTATTAACTGGAAATGCCAGTATGTGGCTAATGATGCAATCTGATTTAACGTGATTACAATAGAGAAGATGGTATGCTTAGATTTGTTGTCTGCTACAGCTGTTCTCTCTCACTATATGATATAGTACGAAGTTGTAGAAGTGTGCATATATAATCCTACACCCAGAATCTTCCAATAAAAAAAAACAGCTCTCCTATAAAACAATTTTGCAATGAAATAATCATTGATTGGTAAGTTAAAACCCGAGCTAATTACAACATTTTTAAACTGCCATCCTCAAAACCCGTCAATTCTATTTAATAAACTGTTGTTGCCCTCTAGTGTTCAAATAGAGCTTGTAGATGCCACTCCAGAAAGATCCAAACTGGTCACCTAACAATTCCTTGTTTGCTCTTAATGCAAGAAGACAAATGGATGGGGGGAGGAAAAAAAAAAAAGAAAAGAAAAAGAAAAGATATGTGTTTCAGTACACCTGCCTAGAACCCACTTTTCTTTTCTCAAGCATAAAAGAAGATTTTTAATGTAAGAGCATTTAAAGTAGTTTGTTTCACTTAAAATTTGTGAAAGGCATCCTCCCCAAATTAGACATAGTACTCATGCACCTCTCTGCTTTACTTCTGCCATTCATCATGCTTGATGTGTGTCACTGCTTGGGTTGAAGAGTGATGTTTCTAATGATATTAGCCAAATACATGCCCAGTGCTCTAGATGACCCTGAGATATCTCTGCCTGCCTTCTCTTGACACATCTTTACTGTACTGTACCACATCAATTAATACCAACCATCTCTCCCTCCAACAAATTATTTATTACAGCAGGAAAACACAGTGAAGATTCAGGGGTTGTTCTCAGCACCAATCCTGCAATAAGCTGCCATGGTGGCATCAGCAACGTAGAAGGCTTCTCACAAGTGGTAATTCTTACCAGAGAAAATTACAGCCAACCTCAGATCTGTACCAGCAGTTTTACAGACTGCAACTGGGCCTGGTGTTTATAATTTTATTAACTCATTTCCCAGAAACATTATTCCCTCTCATCACGTTCCTTGACCAGAAACTTTTGAAAATAGCTATTAAAAAAGAAAAAAGAATAAAGAAACTAAGGTTAAACAAAGTGCAGACAGCAGACAAGCTGATGAACTTAAGATACTTTTCTTTTGTAACTTTGTTCACTTCTGAGAGGTTATCCAGAATGTTTTTCATTTAAGCATTGTCAGGCTTAAGCAGTGTAGAAGACCAGCTGGTTTTGTATCTATAGAGCAATTTGCAGCCCCCATATAGTAAGAATTCAACTTCTTGACATAAGGAACACTGCCTCGTCTTTGATCTTTGATTAATGAAATTTTCAGAGAATTTTCTGCATAAAGTTATTGCTAGAGTTCTCAGAAAACTTGCCTCAAGGCCATTTTCGGATCATGCCTGCTTCCCACTGCACCGAGCCTGACAGATCTAAGAACCTTTTAGACGTGAGTCACGTTTTGTATTTTGTAATAGAATTATTGCCTTGTATTCGTGAGGCACCATTCCTTTTCTGTCTTCATGTTTGTTGTTGATTATGCTGCCTGCCACATGGATACTTTGAAATCTAGTCTTTCATTCTAAAAACAGGCTTAGACTGGGAATACGTGAAGGGAAGTGTGAATAATACAAACTGGAAGTTGGGTAGCAAGCAGCAGATGCTCACACATACTCTCACTCATCTCTTATTCCAGAGGCGTGGAAACATACAGAGCAGCTATGCTTATTACCAGTCACATGAAGATGATTCTAGAAGTGAAGAGGGTGTGATTTGGGAGCTGCTAAGAGCTCTGTGTGTTCAGGAGGGACAGCAAGTCCAGCACTATTGCAAGCAGCTCTTTAGAGAGCCACCAGCCTGGTGAGGGAAGTAGGAGAACGCCAGAAACACAAAGACAGTGCAACCTTGTTCATCCACTCCTGCTGACTGCAGGAAACTTCTCTGAGGTTGGCACCCTCCTATATAGCCACCATCTTCCTTTAAAACTCTCTTACCTCTCTTCAGTCCCTCTAGATGTTCAGCAAATGGACACCACAACTTTTGTCTGTCTTCTGCCGATATTACAGCTGCTGTCTTTGCCAAGTCCCATCACAAGTTTCTGCCTGCTCTGCAATCAAGTGTTGAGTCTCAACTCTTAGGGACCTAGGCGTACTGGAACAGGTTCTCTCTTGTGCACATGCTAAGTCGTTTGGTCATGATGTCTGCCACAAAAGCCCTTGATTGCAGTTTGCTTCACTTTGATATGATAAAACTCTTTCTCTCTGATACATACCACAAAAACCCAGTGTGCTACAGGGTGGCAAGCTCTTTGGAAAAGGCAAACTCTGATTTGCAGCACATGGTTTTAAGGATAGCTTGTGATGTACACAGAAAAACGCGTTAAGGTAAACTACACCAACTATGCTATGTGTCTCACAATTTCTGTTTGTACCTAAAACCATTTGGATGCAAAGCTCTAGTACTAAGTACTCCTTTAAGGCTACAGATAGAGCAAATAGGTTTGCCAGTCAGTCATGTAACACCAGGGCATTTAGGTGCAAATAGCATTGAAAACACTCACGTGCTGCACAGGCAGCAGAAAAAACTCAATTTATTAGCTGTGCTTCGATTCCACTAATCTTGTCACAGTACAGATCAAGCTCTTCAAATGCTTTTTCTCCTTAAATATAAGACCTTCTTAGCTGCACTTGGATTTTAGTGTTTATTTTCTGGATTTAGTAGTAAATCAAAAATTATAGACACTATAGTTCAGCGAAGAAAAAGCAGTTCTCTTCCCCACCGAAGCCATCTGCCACTTTCCCATTAGTGGCCAAAATAGGAATTCATCCTCTTCTGAGATTTCAATGTCTACTGTTCCGCTTCAGAGCTGTCCTCTCAAAGATGAGAGATGCTCCTCACAATCTTATTCCCTCTCCCCATCATACATCAGCATACATTCCATTGATCAAGTAATCCAGCCTGGTATAATGTCTCTTCTGAAGAGATTCGCGTATTTTCTTCCCCGTCAATGCAATAACTAGTAACAAGAATATCACCCCAAAAAGCAAAGCCACTACAAGGCTGCTTTTTTCTCCCAGCTGAACGATACCTTTCCCTCTCAGAATGCTCTCTGGCAGGTAGCTTTCTGAATCAGATGTGTCGTAACTCTGAGGGTTGTTTTGAGAAGCCACGGGGGAATCAGTAGTAGATGGAGCGAAACCTGAAAAAGACAGGTGGGTAACATGGCTGGTATCGTTGGAAGAGCCAACTGTCGGCTCAGGAGGGATGGCTGAAGTTCTTAGCCCTGATGGGGCAGCGGCAGATCTGGAATTTGTGGTCACTTGCTTGGTTGTTGAAGTAGAAGCAGAAGTTGTGGCACTGGAAAGAGGAACATGAGTAACAGCGATGGTGGAGGTAGGGATACCAGGCTTAGCTCTAGTGTTCACAGTAGGTGGGAAGGTAGCTGTGGTGGTGGTGGTGACCACAGCAGGTTTAGCACCACCAGTAGGCAGAGAGGTTATACTAGATTCTGTTTTGGTGGTACCTGTAGGCAGAGGAGTAAGAGCAGTACTGCTGGGTTCAGGAACACCAGACTGAGTGGTGGGGAACGAAGCAGAGGGGTTTCCAATTTGAACAGCAGAAGATGTATTTGGCAGCAGGTTAATTACTTTCTGGCTTGGGATGAGGTCTAAGCTCTCAGGGTGTTTTGCCCTTTGAGATTCGGGAACAACTGTATGAAATTCACTGTTGTCTAAATGCTTGGCCACATGGTTCAGGCGTTCAGATGTGTGATGAAAGACAGATTGCTGCAGAGCAGCACTACGATTCTGATGGCTAGTCGGACTGCGAGAAATAAAGGCTCCAGCATCCGAAGACAAAGAATACTCATTTGAAGAAAACTCTTCACTTTTGAAGGATGTATCCTCCAGGGCATGGGTGTCTAGAAACAGAAAGGAAATACCAGGATTTAATTATGAAATCTATTTTTGACTACCACAGGCTTATTCTAACAATCTGTATTTCTTAGTAAGGCACATGTAAGGGGACTCCAGAAAGTAATGACTCATGAAACGGAAGCATCAAGATCTTCCTTTCTTTAAAATATGGTGAGTAACTTTCAAATTCTGTGTCATAAGACCTGTCAGTCTCAAGCTTGGGCACACCAGACTCTGACTGCCGCTTCTTGCAGAGTTCACCTGCAGAGCGAGCGTCCCAATCCGATTGTTTTATACTTCTATTGCATGCACGCAAGTGTTTTATTTAGCAGTGCAATGCACTGAGTAGGCCCATTACCTTTAAACCATTCTCAGCTTCTGTCAGTTAAGAAGTAGATATTATCAACCTCACATTTATGTCAGACGTACACAATTCCACCTAGCCAAGATGACTATATACTCCCTTTTCTTGTAATATTCCAGCATCCTGTGATTGTTTGATACAATTCAATTCGCACACAAAAACTTTCTTATGATGCAAGGTGGCAATGATATCCCCATTTTATAGACCATTTCATACGCATACTGATTTGTAGGAAAGACCTGAGCTCCTACTGCCATGCTAGAAGAAAGACCCTGCTCCAAGAGTCTCCAAGGTATTTGTAGTGAAGGCCCCCCAAGAAGCAGACTGCACTTGATCATTCCTCCAGAAGTCAACACATATTGCTGCAAACCAGGTGGGCAAATGTTATTTAACAGAATTTAGAGGCAGAGCAACAGTGTTATGTGACAGAAATTCCATACAATCAATAACTCAAGCAGCTACCTGATTCTACACAGGTATTAGAGAGAGACTTTGGGTGAGCACAAGCTCTTGGGAAGACTGGCTGTTATCATTCAGATTTTATATATATATACACACATGCATATATATATAATACATATACACACACATATATAAAATATATAATATTTTATATTTAGATAAAATTTACATATTTATATAAAATATATATGTGTGTGCATATACATATTCGTTATCATTCGGTTGCCACACAGAACATTTAAAAGTGAACATCCTCTCAAGTAGTTCTGACTCTCACTCATCTTTATTAAAGAAACAAAGAGGTTTGTTAACTGCCCTGGAATTGAAATAAAGAACAAAAAGTCCATGACATTTTCATTGTCACTTTTTTCTCAAGTAGGAACTCATCCAGAGGGATGGATTTGTTTCAGTTTTATTATACATGCAAAGAAGCCTACTTGGCTGCTGTTTTAATATATAATTCCAAGCCTTAAGACTCCACAAAGAAAATGAAATGTGAAAAAAAAAACCAAACCCAAAACAAACAAACTAAAAAAACGGCGATGCTTTAAACAAGAGCCCAGCAAATACTTCACTTGAATCATAGACACCAATTTTTACCCTAACCTTTCAGTCAGGCACCAGCTTGTTAGAGAAGTAGGATCCTAAATAGAGATAACAGACTCCATCCATAAGGTCTGACTTAGAGAAAAGCCACACTCTGTTTTTAGAGTGGCTTTAAATAACAAAACACTCAGTTATTAGAGAATCAGAAACCACACGGTCAAAGATGCCCAAACACTCAGCTGCTTCTGCAGCTCTGGACACATTTCCAGACCAATGAGGAAACGGCCTGTCACCACCACCGAGCCAGTTCCCAGCTCACTTTTTCCCTGTCCCCGACGCACCCCCATGGACACTTCCCCTGCCGTGCGTTTAAACAAACAGCGGATGTAGTGTGACAGCTACAAAGCACTTGCAGCACGCTGTGCCATCTTCGGTTCGCTCGCCTGGGCAACAGCTACAAAAGCAGGGAGCATGCACCCAGCGTTCACAGGGTGGGTGGAGGGAGCGCAGGGAGGCTACGACACGAGTCCCATACGGGAGTTAAGTACCACTGCTGCTCTGCAGCACTTGGATCAATTAACTGCCTGCACTAACTAACTCTGCTCCACATTTTCAGCATCAAACATTGATTTTACAGTATTCTGTGTCTCCATTTTAGCCTACAAGCTCCCAAATGCAATTGCCCAACACTGTCACATGCGAGGTACAGCTGGAGTACTAGGATAGATATGCTTGTTGGTAAGAAAGAACACAGGCACTACCCAAGTCAATCTCTAAAAAGAGATTAAAAACCCAAAGTGATCCTGCTGATATCTCAAATCCAATAAGCTGCATTAGAAACCAAACTTCAGGGTTGTCACTCTTGAAAATAAACTAAGAACCTCCTGAGCGTAACTTGCTAGAACCCACCAGTATCTTAGCGGGGTGGAAAAAACAAACACCAAAGTAGTACATGAAGAGCAGAAATCAGAAATGTTATTTCTTTTCAGCAACAGTTCTTTGTGACTGGGACCAGGAAACGCTTTACTTCCCAAGCCACATGTTGTTTCCTTTAGTTACCAAGCCACAAGAAGAGTTAAAAAAAGAAAACCAAAATCTTATTACTAACATAGCATGAGTACTTTAAGTCACTTTATTACTAGTAGAGTATCTTTCTCCCTTTAGTTTGGTTTTCAGTGTAACCACATGCAGATTCTCATGTGAAAAAAAAAGAGCTTGAAATGTTTGTCAGTATCAACACCGCTCGGGTGCTACCTTTGAAAACTTACTAGGAACATAAGGTAAATAAGCTACCATAGTCTTTCCATAATTCAATGTTCACAGAAGCTAAAAAATGCAAAATGAAAAATAGATGGTATATGCAATCAAGTTGTTAACTGAGCATTACACTACATGCAGGAGGAAAGCACAAGCACGATTACGTTTCTTGTTTCTTTGTTTGAAACCCCTATATTCTTCTAAGGAAGAAAGAGCTGGGGAGAAGAATTGTTCTAACAATAATTTTACAGGCATGCACTTCATTTGTTGCACATTGCTTTTGCCCAATTCCTGTGTGATTGTGCTTGCACAAAAATATTTGGTAACATTATGTGAATAATCTTTCTACATATCCTGCTGTTGCTCCTCGCATAGTTCCTCTTAGAAAAGTTCTCTTTTTCAGAAAAAGTTCAGTCTCTGGAAATAGGAAATTTCTGCTCTCTCAAGCAGACACACTGAAACCACCTTGTGAACTCTTGGCAGGACAGCAGTCTGATTATCAGTTTCTTATCTGAGCTGTTGAAACAGGTCTGGTGCAAGTCTGCATCAGTCAACAGGTAAGACTGGCTATTAAAAATCCCACAGCACATGACAGATAGTGAGGAATTTCTGAGTGTGCAGCCCATACGCCATAAAGCTTTCAGCTTAGTCCATTTGCATCTGCGCTTCAGGTTCCCTAACTGAACGCAGCAAATAATGATTACTGTTGCCAATTACTCGGTAACATCCCAGCAGTGCTCCAAGGCCTGCCCAACATTTGCTCGGGGTTTCTGCCTGTGTGTATATCTACACATACATCAACCAGTGTAGCGTGGATCCTTTGAATACGCAGATGGCTACAAGGGCATCGTATTTCCGTTGCTTTCAGCGATACTCTTCAGCATTATGTACATAACATTTTTCTTCTTGAATATATCAAGTTAGAAGCAGCTTCTTTTTGTTTTAAGCAAGGGAAAATTATGAGGACTTTTGAATCTAATGCAAAGGAATTTCATAAAAGCCGGGATGTTATTCCAACTGGGAAGCTGCGCCCACACAGGAGCTCACCACACACCTGCCCATCCACCTCTCACACAGAGGGTGGGTGCTGTGAAAAAGCAGCATTTTCAAATTACAGTTCTTGGCTTAGAACATTTCACCAAAAATTGCAACCCCAAAAAACTTTCCGGTCCCTGCTGAAAAGTCACAGGTGCAGAGGTCATCTAGTGTGGGGATTGGTGTCTTTAACTATTATTTACCTCTAGTTATCTTGTAGCTCACAAACGCTGTCGCAGGTTTCATTGGACAAGCCTCTGTGCTAGGACAGTAAAACAGGTAGCAGTTTGGATGTGCGCTTGTCCTTTTAGCGTCAAAAACCACCAGATTACACTTCTTGTCTCCTGCAAAACACGATATATACATATTTCAGCAATAAGAACTTTTATACTATCTTGATAATAAGCTCTGGTCTGTTAAATTAGTTTTTCCTCATGTGAGTAAGAGGAAAACTACTAATTCATAACATTCCTACAGGAAAAACAGCCCAGGACTGCAAAAGAATGGGCCAGGGCCAATATACGAAAGGTCAGACCTTCCTCTTCCTGTACAGATGAACTCGAGGAAATAGAGTCTAATCCTTCATCCTCCCCTCACCCATACCACACTGGCACCACTTTATATAATAATTTTTTGCTTACAAATCCTTATAAATCAGAAAAAATTATTGATATAGTCACGGGGAAGGGAACTATTTATACACTTTTCCCATCACATCCCAGGAATCTCTTGGTTTGCTGCAGCTTGGGGGGGGGTTACTTTTACCTCTGTCATTTCCACTTGCTGCTGTACCTCCTACTGCTCCAAGAGCTTAATGCAAACCAGCCATCTCAGAGAAAGGTAAGCACTCTCATTTTTGGCTAAAATTAAATGCAGCACAAAAGTTGCCCAGTTAAGTTGTGGCTGCCCCATCACGGGAAGTGTTCAAGGTCAGGCTGGATGAGGCTTTGAGCAACCTGGTGTAGTAATGGCAGGGGAGTGGGAAATAGAGGATCTTTAAGGTCCCTTCCAACCCAAACGATTCTATGATTCTACGAAGATGTGTTATAGTGCGTGTAATAAATACAGCTTACGCATCTTGGAGTTTGAGGGTCTGAGAGGTCCCAACATTTAAAATTACCACTGTTTCTTGACTGTAACTATTTTCCTGACCACTCTGGGATCTCACATCACACTTGGCAGAACAGGATGGCAGCCTCAAGCTGTTACTAGCGGCAGCGTGAATGAAAGGATAGATTAGCGCTTCCCTGCTGAATACAGAGAACAGCCTTGTCCCAGACAACTTCGGAAGCAATTTCCCAAGCGTCCGCACGCAGTAACGGAAAGACGGAAGAGGAGCGGGTTACCTGACAGCTTTTCCCCCGAGCAGCAAAGGCGAATGCACGCCTGAGGGGTTGGGGCGTACGCCGGCTCTGCGCCCCTGATGCCTTTGGGCAGAGATAAGTTTATATCGATGATGGCATTTTCCGTTTTCTCTGCGGAACACTCTTGACTCAGGGA